TCACGACAACTTGGTGACTCCACTGGGAACTTGGGGGTGGATGACCCAAAAGCTAGAAGAATGGGCAAATTTGGAAAAGCAGGGGCTAACATATTTTTGATAAAAATAAAATAAAAAGTCGCTATGAATATTTCTTTAAGGTGTGATTGGCTACCTAAAAATTTTTTCTTGTAATAAAACATTTTATAACGGGTTTAAAAGTTTTAGAAAAAGAATAAATTTACAATCTATGAAATCAGAGTTTGGGTTCAGAAGTCAATTACGCGTGAGAAAAGATTAGCACCCCACAATGCTTGTCGAATACGGTACCAATTGATTGCATGTTATCCTTTATTTTTAGTAAAAATAATAATATTTTTCTTAATGTTTGAAATTAATTGCTTTTCTTTTTTCTTTTGGAAAAAATAAAAACAAATTAAATTTTTTTATTTAGATGAAAACCCCTTAAATATCGAAATACCTCTTTCACTCTCCTATAATTAAGTAGAGTTTTAAAAATATTTCTAATTTAAAGATTTTTAAATTATCCCACTAAAATCAATATAACACCTCTTATAAATAATAACCTCGAGCGAACCCCTATAATTAGGTAAGATCTTGATAATTATATTTACTTGATATATTATTTTATTTTAAAACATTTTTCTTTGAAAACATATTTTTGAAAATAGATGCATAAATATAATAAAACATGATGAATGCATGATAATATAACATAAATAACAAAATATGAATGCATGCCAATATAAATATTCATGTGATGACCAGGTAAAATGAAATGCAAGTGTATGATTAGTTTAGGGTTTGAGGGTTGGTTTTAAGATTTAAGGGTTAGGGTTAGGTCTAAGGATTTGAGAATTTTGGGTTTCAAGTTGGGGGTTTCAAATTTTTTTTTTTTTGGGTTTTATAGAAATTGACATGAAATAAAAGCAAATTATAAAAATGTCATTAATAAATGCATGTACCAAAAGTATGATCTTGAAAAATAATTACAAACTAAGGTATTTTCAAACTTAATATTACAAACATGATATGCGTGAAAATTTAAAAACAAAATGGATTAAACATGAAAAACTTTGAATTTGGTTTGAATGTTCTACCATTTGTTCATCATTAAACTTAATCAAACAATTTCAAAAATCAACCAAAACAAACATTTTTTTATTGAAATTTTGTTCAAACACATTAGAAACTTGCAAATCATCATAAAAAAATAATCTATGACAAGAATCAAAGAAACTATCATTCATAAAACAAGGAAGCAAGGTTCGAAAGGAAGCAAGGTTCGACCAACTAAAGTCCACCATGGTCGAACCTTCCCTATCATCTCATCATAGCATTTTCACATCATTTAAGCCAAGCTTACCTCATTTACCTTCCAAATCATCATGTAAAAGTATTCATATCACAAGGAAACTTTCATCAAACATAAAACAAACTAAAAATAACAAAGAAATCATAAACACTTGAAACATGAACCAAACACCATCACATATCATTAACCAAGATCATAAACTAACAAATAAAAAGTGTACCATCAACCAAACACATATAGGTAGCAAAAGAAACAAAGAACACATTTAGAGGGGAAGCCAATAGAAGGTTCGATCATGGGAGAAGAGGTTGACTGAACCTCCACTTGATTTTTTAATGGTGGATTTGTGTTATTTTCTAACTTCAATCCAACTATTGAGTAATTGGATAAAGTTTGATTCAAACTTTGAGCAAGAAAATAAACCAAAACCTTAAAAAAAAATCAGTAAATAAATGAAAGAAACACAATGAAAATGCAATAAAAAAAATATGATGAAGATGCAAAAAATGCAAAGATGGAGGTTGAGAAAGGCTACTTTCAAGCAAGCAAGCGACAAAGAATTTTTTTTCTCTTTGTTTTCTCACATTTTTTCCTTTGGTTCTCTCCTCTGTTTCAAATTTCTTCCTCTGGTTTTTTCATGCAGCAAAACGACCCCTTACATTGTAGAAGATGCTAGAAAACATCTTTAAAAGATTGAATTATGGTCATAGGATTAAAACATCATCCAATGGCCAAAATTTTCCCCTTATTTTTAATTCAAGTAGCAAGCTTTAACCATTGGATTAACATTCTCATGAGATCCAACGGCTAACATTATTCACTGCAAATGTTGGATTTTAACAGCAATTGAACCAAGTAAAAAGATCATTTTACCTTTAGTACAAAGTTTTCGGTATTTAGCTATTTTCTTGGAAATTAATGTTCTTGTGCTCTTTTTTAAAATTTTAAAGCACCAAAAATCTTGAAATATTATAAAATCAAAAGCTGAAAGTTTTTGTAAAAATCCGACCCTGGAAAAGTCAAATTATGAAATTACTTTCTAAGGGGTATTTAGGTAATTTCATACCTTTCAAGGTACTGTTGTGATTTTGAATGCATAAAAAATTATCAAATAATATAAAATCATAATTGGAAAGTTTCACGAAAAATCGACATCGAGAATGTCAAATTACGAAATTACCTCTAAGAGGCATTTTAGTAATTTCACATTTTTCGAGGTACAATCAAGATTTTCAAAATTTTAAAAATCATCCAATAATATTAAACCATAATCTGGAGTGTCTCGCTAAATTTCGACATTGGAAAGGTCAAATTACGAAAATACCCCTGGATATTTTCATAATTTCACACATCCAAGATGTGATCTGGGTTTTCAATGCATCAAAAATCATTAAAAAAATTTAATTCTGATCGAAAAGTTTTTATGAAAATCCGATTTTGAGAAAGCCAAATTACGAAAATACCTATAAGGATATTTTGATAATTTTATATTTTTCGGAATGCGATCAAACTTTTTAATGCTTTAAAATCATAAATTTAAATTTTAATCCAAATTGATTCCAACTTGGTTGTGAAATTTGAATATTAACCTGGGTTCTATCCATTTTGACCAAGTTTGATCAATTTTTACCTTGTTTGACTAAGTTTGATAAAGTTTAATCAGAGTTGACTTTGAGGCATTTGGGTCAAATTGATCCAAATTTTGATTTTAGAACTTTGTCAAAATTGAAGAAATGTTGGATTTAAACCGGGTTTAATTTTAAGAACTTTACAAATAGTCAAAATTTTGCCAGGACTAAATTAGGTGTCGACAGGGATTGATAAGATTTCTGCTATTACAATTGATAATGCTAGTTACAATGATGTTGGAATTAAATATTTGAGAAAAAAAATTTAACAATGCAAGAAGTAGTATTATAGGAGGCAAATATCTTCATTTGAGATGCGTTGCTCATATTGTTAATGTTGTTGTGAGTGATGGATTAAAGGAAATTATTGATTCAATTGCTCGTGTTAGTGGGGCAGTTAGATATGTAAGACAATCACTCTATAGGTTAGCCAAGTTTAAAGAGTGTGTTGCCAATAATCACATTCAAAGTAAAAGCTTGTTGTGCTTGGATGTTAGCACTAGGTGGAATTCCACTTACTTGATGTTGGAACAAGGCCAAACGTTTGAAAAGGCTTACGAGGCATTTGATGATTTGTTCCTTACTATAGAAGTGAGCTCTTGTTGGAAGATGGGGTGCCCAATCAAAATGATTATGTAAGTGTTAGAAGATTATGCTTTTTCTTTTAAAAAATTTACAACTTCACAGTTAGAATTTCAGGTTCTTTATATGTCATCACTAATAATTCTTTTGAAAATATTTATGGTGTTTATGGCATTTTGCAAGATTGGCAATTGAATGTTAACGTTGAGTTGAGTGCAATGGCTAAGAGAATGAAAGATAAGTACAAGAAGTATTGGGAGAATGTGAAGAAATAAATATGTTACTTTATATTGCTTACATTCTTGATTATAGGAAAAAACTTGCTTTTGAGGAGTTTTGTTTTATGAAAATGTATTTTTGTAATCGAACTTTAATGATGATGATACAAGTGTAAGAAGTAATTAGTGAGTTATTTGATAAATACAAAAACATGTTGTAACCTTAATCTGAACAAGTTGGTGAAAGTAGCCAAGTAGTCAAGTTACAGAATCCATTTACGAACTTGAAATTGGGAATTTATGTGACTCATAAGTTGTTATGATTGAGTTTAGTAGGTTTAGGAAACAATAGGGTAGAGAAGAGAATAAATCAAAGTTGGAGAAGTACTTGAATGAAGAGTCTAATGCTATTAAGGAGGGGTTGGAGTTTAATGTTCTTCTTTGGTGGAAACTCAATAGTCATAGGTTTTCTATCCTTTCCCATCTAGCTCATGATGTGTTGAAGGTTCTCATATCCATAGTTGCTTTTGAATTTGCTTTTAGTACTAGTGGTCATATGTTGATACATATAGGAGTTTTTTAACTCATAAACTTACGCAAGCTTCTTATTTGTGCTCAAGATTGGTTATGTGGATCTTCAAATTTTGATCCAAATGACATAGAGGATGAAGTGGAACAACTTGACAAGATTAATTTGAGTAATTATTTTATTTGTACCACTATTTTTTTTTCAATTCTTATTTCTTTAAATATTTTAGTTACAGTTAACTTTTTGTTCTTTTTTGTTTATGTATTTTTAGATTTATCCAAGATTGGATTGAACCCATAATTGATTAGTAAAATGCATTTGATTAATTGAGGCAATGTGAATGAAGTTTTTGTTTTTTTTTTGTTTATGTTAATTTTTGTTTGTCTTTTCGCAATATACTTGGAATATTATATTGTACATAATAAATCAATAATGTATGTGACTAGAAATTTTGTCATTACTATGATTAAAAAAAGAAAAGAAAAAGAATATGGGAACTTTACAAGATTAATGCAGTCAAAGATTAAAAAAGAAAAAGAATATGGAAACCTTACAATATTAATGCAGTCGATGATTAAAAAAATGGGAATCTTACAATATCTATGCAATCAATGATATAACGTGGCAGACACTGACTTAAAACTTAAGTCTTGTTAAACGCTAAAGGCATTGCTGTGGTAAAAATTTCAATCTTATTCTTATTTTCTGATTTGGTTTTTTTTTTTTAGGCAATGCAATCATGGTTCATTGGTGTGCACTTTGCACCTCAATCAGGAAAGAAAGAATATTGTTGTTGTCTGCTGGATAAATTAATGTTATTTGAGATTTGAATTTTATGGATTGTAATTGGTTGATGTTGGATAAATTAATGTTGTTTAAGACTTGAATTTTATGGACTGTAATTGGCTAATTACACTATGTTATTTAAGTTTGTGTTTATGTTATATTGTATTTGTGTTTTTATTTGAGTATTGTTAACAATATTTGGACTTATTGGATTATGTGTTGAACACAGGAAACCAAAACCGACTAGCCCCAAGAAAACCAATCAAGATCGATCAACTTAATTCGGTTTGGTTTTTTGGTTTTCTTTGCATATATTAGTTAATTCAATTTTTATAATAGAACTAAATCGATTAAATGAGTTATTCGGTTTTTATAATTGAATTAATTGAATCAACCATTTGCCCTGTCTTACCCAGAGGGGAACTAAAAGGGATAGGCATGGGTTATGATACCCCTAAATTTTTTACACCATTGTAGTATAGTAACTCAGCTTATCTAACATCTGTATTGGCCCTCCCTTTTCCATTATTTTTATTGTTTGGCTCCCTCTTTACCTTATGTCTGGCTTCACCCCTGGCTCTACCTTATCTGATGTTGCAGGCCAGCTGCTGCTAGGGCATGCTGAACATCTGTCATGGCAGGCGGAACAAATTGTGCCCGTTGGTAACTCAGTGAAACTTCATTTCCAATTGCTATGACATCAGGAGATCTAGAGAAGCAGACAACATTTCTCTGGATCCAGTCCTTTGCAGCTGCAGCATCAGAAAAGGCTTAGAGGCTGTCAAGACGGGTTCTTTTTGGATCCCCTCTAGGACATTGAGGGTTTCCTGATCTGGATCATATAATTATTCCATGAATGCCATTTGAATTTTGATTGACAAAGACTTCCAACATCTGCCGCTCTTGGTAAATCGTTTCCATTTCTGCCATAGCACACACCTAAATGGAATGTGCACACATACAAAATCGGGTCAAGATTTAATAGACTCCGTGTATCATTGATATAAATGTTTCATGGCAGTAGCAATGCTCAACATGTTGAAAAACTCTGATCAGGAGGAAAATATTCAGAATGAAAATGAAAGCCAGGAGTCGTTACTTTCAAAGATCAAATGCTTGCCAGAAACCCTTCCCCTCCAAAAAAAAAAAAAAAAAAGAAAAAGCAGCAGAAAGAAACTCATCAAGCCAGTACCATTCTTGCAAAAGTTTCACTTTTGAATAGTGTTGCTGTCCTTTCCTTCATGGCAAGGGCACACATCCGTTATAGTAGTTGGGAAACTGATGTTCTCGTGTAAAAGCTAAGCTACTTGCAGGAGTATATGATGTTATCGAACATCTAAAATATCTCAGAAATAAAATTATTTGTTCAAGAACTTGTCAAACTAAATGTGAGAAAAGCAAGCATAATTTTTTTTTATTAAATCAAGAATTAGATGATAAACGGTACATGTTTTGGTCATCCTCATGCATTTGAAAGGACACTCTCAACATTTAACAGTAAAAATTACACTTGGATTAAGATTTTCCTGAAGGTTTTAGTGTACAACATACCAATTATGAATATGCCAAAAGCAGCAATATAGCAGCCATGTAGAACTATATGACATCCATCTCTCTCTCCATATATATAGAGGCAAGCTCTCCAGGATTGAAAAAAAGAGGAAAATTCCCACATTTTCAACATCTATTGCCCTGTCAAGCACTCCATTGAAATATTCAACAAAAAATAATGCTGGAATAATATTGAAAAAACAAGCTAGGAACATTATGCAGATGAATCAAAACCTTATAAAACAGTGTTTATTAATTTGTCTATATTTTTTGCTTTTCTTCCAGGAATTAAAAATCTACCAGGTTGCCATGATACCTATTAATCATGGCTGCATTAAATGGTGAGCATTAGAGTCCAAAATTATGGCATGCAGTAACAAGAGTAAAGTTTCAATATTTAGTGTTGAAAATTGGGATCAATGGAGAAGACCAAAACCTGGTTTCTTTGGACAAGTCACACAGAAAAAGTTCTGATCATCCATTTGTACAACAAGATTGCATCTATTACGTTTATAACTTGATAGGAAATGCCACTTTTGTCACTGTTCTCCTTCATGGAAGTTCCATTCCAGGATTATCCGATTGATGGCATATAGAGGAAATTATACGTCAATTAGTAAATTAATGGTCTTCTACCTGTTTTGCGAAAGATGAACCAATTGCTTGAAGTTTTAAATTTGACTAATGCATTTCGATTTTAAGTCAGTCTTGAGTTAGTAGAATTTTAGGTTAGAGACTTGTCTGACTTTACTTGAGATTATTTTAGATAAATAATATATATTTATTTGAACTAGATTTAAAAACATTAACTTAATAGATTTTGGTTGATCATTTTAGATATAATATTATAATGCAATAAAAAACAATATGAAAAAAATTAATTAAAAATTATATATATAAATTTAATAAAAATAAAAAATATATTTCATATGAATTATAATATAATAATTTTTATATTTTTAATATATTTAATATAAAATAAATACGAAACAAATACAAAAATGGTAAAATCTAAATTTTGGTGATTGAAATTTTTTGTTTGGATCAATCCGAAACTAAAAAAAAAAGATATTGGCATATAGCAGGATAGTAAAAAAGAGTGTTGCTGTGACCTCATCAGTAATCATGAGAGGGAAAACAATGTCAAAAGAAGTAGAATAGATTTTTCAACAAAATAAGTAAATAAAAAGTTAAGACTGCCAACTTAATTCAAGTTTTTAAACAGGGATTAGCATATAAATAAATATATATAGATAAAAGTAGAGATTTATTTATATTAATATAAGTATTATATATATATATTTTTAATTTTGGATTAAAATTAAATTTATAACACTTATATAGATTAAAATATATATAATAGGAATTCATTTATATTAGTATAAGTCTTATACACTTTTTTAATCCTTAAATCAAAATTAAATTTATAATACTTATACTTAATCATTTTGATTTAAATAATAAAAAATGTAACAATTATATTAATGTAAGTAAATTTCTTCTCTCATTTATATAATTTATATTTAATACACTATTAATATATAAAATATATACATTATCAATAAATTAAATAATATTATTTTATTAATAAATAAATATATATAAAAAATTAATATTTTTTAATATTATAAACTCATATACATATATCTATATATATATATATATATAAGTGGATGAATGATTGATCGCATTTCTTAATAATAAGAGGCAACCTATAAATGGATGATGCCTTGATGCCTTACAAAAAAAATTTCCTTAGGTTAGATTTTTTTAATACAAATGAAATTGCAATTTAAAAATAAAAAAGTTGTAAATATTAAATTTAAAATTATTAAATATTATTTTAAAAATTTGATTATATAAATTTTTTGAATTAAATTTTAAAATTTTTTCATTAAATTGATACTTTTGTTTATTGCTTTTTATTATATATTTTTTATTTTCATATTATATATTGATAGTTGATAGTTTTTTTCATATTGTACATTGAAATTTGCAAGCTGTTTTGAAATGTATGGGGTACCGAAATTTTTTTTTTTTTTGTTTTTTAAATATAAAAATATAAAATATGATCAATCATCCATTTATAATAATAATTATAAAATTATGAAAAAAAAAAAGAAGGAGTGCATTATTTTATCCACGTAAAAAAAAGGCAGTTGCAAACTGTCTATTTTAAGACAATGACAATTCAATATCAAATTTTTAATTTTTTTAAAAAATAAGAAACAATAGAAGGAATAATAAATAAATAAAAAAAACAAAGGGAACAAAAGAGAGCTTTTCCAAAGCGACATCAGAGGATCAAAATTTTAAAAGAAAAAAAAAAGGGGAAACCACCTTCAAAAACTGTGAAAATGACCTCCCTTTTCTCTAGACCTTGCATTATCAATCTATGTTTTTATTGTTATCACCATCCTCAAAACCAAATTATTTGTTTCCATTTCTCTTTGCTTATTCAATGAATTAATAAAAAAAAAAAGGGAACTGCACCATCAGCCACCTTTTGATCGATCAAGGAATCCAGTTTTCAATCCAAACACATTGACAGCCGTTGGATTTGATGACTCCGATGTTGACATGTCGCCGGCGTTGCTAGACCCTGGAGGAGCTTCTTCTTCAACTCCCAATGGTCAGGCTTCTTCTTTTCCTTTTACAGTGAATTCTTTTGGGTTCTTTTCTGTTTCTCAATCTAAGTTTTTACAAGAAAAAAATGAACACATCTTCCAGTTTTGGTTTTGGAGGTGATTTTAGTTCTGGGTTTTCAAACTCGATCCCCAATAATCCCAATTTTAGCTTCAATACGCCTTCTTTACCACGACCTTCCGCAGGCCTTTCTAAACCAAGGCTTCCCAAAACTAGAAGGCAATCGAATTCTCATAATTTGAAATCTTCAGGCAATTTAGAAACCCGGGTAGGCCCTGGTTTTAATCCGTTTAGACCTGTTTCCGGTGTTCCCCGCCCTAGCCCATCCGATGGAAGTGACTTGGGTGGGAATTTAGAGGGAGGAGTCGTGGAGAAAATCAGTAATTTGAGAATTGGGAAGAGTTCTGATTTAGATGATCAAACTTTAGTTTCCAAGCTTCGGGATGATACAAGGAAGTCGAACATTGAGGATGGTTCAAAGGGTGATCAGAGCAATGAGAATGATAGCAATGTAGGTAGTTGTGTTGGAAGAGGTGCAGAAACGGAAAAACTTCCAAATGAGTTGCCGAGCAAGTTGAATATTAGAGGCAGTAACGATGTTGATGATGGAGTTAAGAAGGGATTCATATTTAAGAGCGGAAAAGGTAGTGATTCTATGGTTGTAAGCTCAACGGATGCATTTCCGAATGAGTTGCTGACCAAGTTGAATATTAAAGGCAGTAAGGATGTTGATGATGGAGGTAAGAAGGGATTCATATTAAAGGGTGAAAAAGGTAGTGATTCTTTGGTTGGAAGCTCAACAGAAGCACTTCGTGACAGCATTAAGAATTTGAATATAAAGCGGATTGATGATAGTTATACCAATGAGAGAGATAATTTTTTCTCTAGGAGTAGTGAAAGCTCTGGTCATCTTGGTGGGAAAGGAGAAGATGTATTGTCGACTGAGATGGAGAGGAAGTTGAATATTGTGAGTGTAATGGGAGATTCTAGTGGTCCAACAGACAAGGGATTTTCTTCTTGGCAAATCTTTGGAAGGAATGTACAAACTGAAAAGTTGGGTGATAAGAAGTTCCATGAGTTTTGTGAACCAGTTCACAAAGAATCTACTTTCCAGGAGGCAACACCAGGTTTATATCCAACTAGTAAAGTTCATATGGATTTACTAAAAAATGATATTAGACCTGGTGGAGCTGCAGCATCAGCAACTTTGTTTTCATCTTGTGCTGTGCATTTCCAGCCTGGTGCAAATGCCTTTGGTATGACTTCTGATAAACCAGAAATGAAGGATGAGTTTGGTTTTACGGCCAAACATGATGCTATAGAAACACCCTTTGTAGAATTCAAAACGCCAAATTCACAGCAAAATATATTCTTTGGCTTAAATAAAAAATTGGAATTTAGTGCAAAAAGAGAAGCTGGTACAAGCACAAAAGTCAAGAAAAGGAAGGGAAAGTTGAAGCAGCCTACATCGGTCCAGCTATGGCATGGACCTGATTTTGTTTCAGGTAAAACTGGTGCACAGGATAATGCAGAGGCTTCTGAGTCTTATTCACCAATGGATGTCTCTCCGTATCAGGAAACCTTAGCTGATACTCAATGTTCAAGAGAAACTTCTGTAGCTTCTGATGAGTCTTTCAGTCTTTATAACAAATATGCATCCTGTGATTCACTACCAACAGTTTCAAGTGATGCAATAGATGAGGATCTGGTTCCTGCAACACAGCATATGAATATAAATGAAGGTGGGGAGAAAGATGAAGAAATAAAAGTGGAGGCTTCTGGAAATGTTTTTGATAAAGGTGTTGCTGCTAAAGATCCTCAAGAAGATTCTGTGTCTGGGGCTGAAACTGAAAGCTTTATATCTGCAGCTGAGGAAATAGATTATAACAGTGGTATTGCTCTTATTTCAGCTGAAAATGAAGCCACTTCAAGATCAAATATTGAGAGGCAAGATAGTGATGCCCAAATGCACGTTACTTCCCTTTCTAATTCAGAATATGTAAGTGGGTTTGACTTCACCTTTGCAGCATCTTCTTCGGCTCAGAGTCAACTGTCAATGTCAAAACGCCACCACAAAAAGAAGAATTTGGCTAAAATTGCTTTTGATTCTCCTAATTCTATTCCTTATGCATCAGCCTCTGTACTGTTTTCTCCTTACCCTGGAGCTTCATTGCATTTATCCCCCGGGCAAGGCCAGAAAACAGATTTATCTACTTTGCAAGGCAAGGTTGGAGGGAATTCTGTTGCGGACAAAGGACCTGAGTTCAAGCATGAGCCTGATTTGACTGGTGCAAGCACTTCATCTCAGGAATCATGTGAAAAGTGGCGATTAAGGTTATTATTAGTTTTTGATAATTTACCTTCATTCTTTTAAAACATATGGTTTCTAAGTAGATTAATTGTTCATATGTTCTCATAGATCATATTCGGTCCATCTTGTAATTTGATGATGTGACCTCTATTTGTACTTGATTTCCATTCACTGATGAATCCATTTTGTTTAACTGATATATACTAGGGGAAACCAAGCCTATGCAAATGGAGATTCATCCAAAGCTGAGGAATATTATACACAAGGGATAAGTTGTATTCCTGCAAGTGAGACATCTAGAAGCTGTCTTCGGGCATTGATGCTGTGCTATAGCAACCGTGCAGCTACACGTATGTCTCTTGGAAGAATGAGAGATGCACTCGGAGATTGTATGATGGCCATTGCAATAGATCCCAACTTTTTGAGGGTTCAACTTAGAGTGGCAAAGTAAGGCTCTGCATTTGTTTCATTTTCTTTAATTTGAGACACCACTGTTCTGGAGTTGTATCTCCGCTACAACTATATAAATTCTTTTCTATGCTGTATTTATTCAAGATTGAGAAATTTTTTGATTTAAAGTCTTTGTTGCATGAAGATTTGTAAGTATTTGTTTCAAATTGTTTATAGCTGCTGCTCTGTACCTATTTTGAATCTTAACTTTTCATTTTAATTGCCCTTTTGAAGTAATTAATATATGCCATTCCATGCAGTTAAATTACCAGCTTTGTTTTCCATTTTCTGCATATCTGTTTTTCTTTGGAGTTAATATTACTCTTCATTGTTATCCAGTTATCATTGTTAGGCTGTTGGTTTTGGTATTAATTTGCATGTCAGTGCTTTGATATTACTTTGATTCTTGTTTGTTATTAGCCTTCTCTTAGCTTTCCTAACTTGGGTCTCTTTATTTCTTTTCCTTCAAGTTGCTACCTTGCCCTTGGGGAAGTTGAAAACTCAAAGCGATATTTCAGGAAGTGCTTACAATCTGGAACTGATGTTTGTGTGGACCGAAAAATTGCAGTAGAAGCATCTGATGGCCTACAAAAGGCGCAGGTGCTTTTTTATTGAATTCCATTTGATACTGGTTTGTGTTAATTGTAACATTAAAAGATTTACAATTCATTCTTTAGGTCCATAAAGAAAAAGATCAATGGATTTTGCAATAGACCCAAGTGAATAAATGCATGTAGTCTTCATTTAAGCTTATGCTTCTGAGCAGCCCATCTTCTTTGAATTATGGCTGCAGATAGGTCAGTGTGTTGTTGTTTGAGTTTTCAATGGATTTTTTAAGTAAAAAAAACATGTTCTGTTTAGTTTGGTTTTCCACTTGTTTAGGATCTTAAACTACATTGAGCCCAAATTTTATGCACTGATCAAGATGTGCCTGTGCTTCTCATAATATATGATTTCAATCAGATTAGTATGATTGTCATAATGATTATATAGGAAATAATAAACTCCTAGCAAGCAAATAATTTCTGGTGCATTTGCAAATGAGTTCAGAAATTTGTCTTTAGGCTTTAAGGAGCCGAAGTCTTTTAAACAAGTTTCAGAGCTTGATACTTCTTAGTTTCAACTGTTGCTCCTGAATCCACTATCTGTGACTAAGTGGAATCTTTAATCTTTTCATTGGAAAATATTTGGTCATTAAGATATCCTTCTACAAAAGTAGTTCAGTGGATCATAGCTACCCCTGCCTAATCTCTTGATGATAGTCATCTAGGAGGATAATTAATTGGGAGATTTCAACTTCTTTGAAAATCTTATATGTTTCTATTACCATTGATGGATGAAAATAATACATCAATCAGAAGCTTTAGGGGAAAAGTGATGTTGAAAGTGAGAAAGTTGTGGAGTACTAAAGCAAGCTTCATATCTCCACTTGCTTATAATTGGTGGACAATTTTAAAGACATGATAATGCATCTTAAAGAGTTAGAAAATTTACTATTGTCCATTTATTAACTTGCATGGCTAAATTAATTCACTTCCTGGCTATATGCTGTTTTTTTAGAAGTTTAATTGCTATTTGCTATACCATGGACCCAGACAAGTCTGAATTAAACTTTCTTGCAAAGTCATGTTTTTTTGTGTGTCTGTGTTTGTGCAACTGCGTATGTGGTGGTGGTGGGGGTTTACATATTGGAAATTTGATATTATTAGCTAGTGGAAGGTGTATAATTATCTTTATAGCTGCTTTTGCCTGCATTGTATACTGAATTTTAGCTTTTGTATTGAATGACATTTGTTTGTACGTTTTTTATGTGTTCCTTCTCCTTTCTTTAATTTGTTTCTTAACCTTGATAAAATGTTCAGAGACTTTTCCAAATTTTTTTCACTTTTCAGCTTTCATAGGATGGTTTATTTGCAGTGAGGATATTGTAACTGATGTGTGGTTTCCTCTCTGGCAGAAATTGTCTGAATGTATGCATCAGTCTGCTGAACTTTTGCAGAGTAGAACATCTGATGATGCAGAGAGTGCTCTGGAAGTAATTGCTGAGGCCTTGCAAATATGCTTGTACTCGGAAAAATTACTTGAAATTAAAGCACAGGCCCTTCTTATTGTATGTGTATTTTTGTTCATATATACTTGTCTAAATGAGGAACTTTTGAAAGTAGATAGTTTACTGTTTATTTAAGCATATGTTGAATCACAGGAAGATTGTTGGAATTGTAATAACATTTTTGCAATCTGGCAGCTGCGCAAATATGAAGAGGTAATTCAGCTGTGTGAACAGACATTGGATTCTGCTGAAAAGAATTCCCTTTCATTTGATATCAATGGACAACTGGCCAATTTGGATAGTTCTGGCTTCTCAAAGGACTCTACCTTTAGAATTTGGCGGTGTCGCGAGATCTTCAAATCTTACTTTCATCTAGGAAAGCTTGAAGAGGCCATCGCATTCCTGGAGAAGCAAGAGGAATTGCAATCCGCTACAGATAGGTAAAACTCACTGCCCTTCTTATACAAAATATTAATTTATGCAATGAAGTACAATGATTGTTGCACATTTTGAGTCTGTCCAGGGATGGAAGCAACAGTTTGGAATTATCAATTCCATTGGCTGCTACCGTACGTGAGCTCTTACGTCATAAGGTAGTTCCATGATATGCTTTTTACTCTAAGAAACAATTTCTAGTTTATGCAGAGTTATGCACAACATTATGCTTTTGTTGGTGTGACTGGCATTGTTTTTCTCCAAGGCAGTGGAATTGACTTTTGAGTGCTTCAACTTATAGGTGCATGTAAAAGCATTATTCCTTTGCATGCTTATAGAGGATTTCAAAAATTTATTCCCTTGGGTGTGTCAGTGTTGTTTTATATGGGGCTCTGCGTTAACTCAAACCAGCCAGTTTTGAGTGAACGGTATGTCCTGTCTCAGAACAAAAAAAAACATAAAATGTATTCCTTTGCCCACGCGAGCTGCTTGCAATGAGCCCATCAAAGGTAGTTTCTGGGCATCCTATGTAAGTGGGGCCCACACCTTGCATTGGGTAGGCTCCTCCCATCAGGAAGCTTGAGTGTGTGTGTTGTTTATATGAGGTTCCGCGTTAACTCAAACCAACCGGTTTTGACTTAATGGTGTGTCCTGTCTCTAAACAAAAAGATTGGTGGGATTCACATCAAGCAGGATTTCATTCAGAAATTACTTTCACTGCTTACTTTTCGTTTTCAGAAGTAAAAGGTAAAGATATATGTTTGATTATAAAAGCAAAATTTTTTTTGAAAAACTACAAGTTTAAAACATAATTGTTTTTGGATAACAAAATGCTTGCTTTGCTGCTATATGGAACCATTATATTGAAATTGGTGTTGTACGTTGAGGATTTGTTCATAGTTAATCAATTATGATTTGGCTTTCTGCCATTTTCTTTTTTTTGGGTACGCATCTTTCTAGTGATTCTTTTACTTTATAGCAACTTTTAGGGAAGTTGTAGGGCTGGCCAAAAAGAAAACCCAAATTTGATGGGTTCTGACTTGACTTGATCCGTTGGGTTTTTTTTATTGTGTGGAAGTCGTGGATTGGGTTGGGTTGGGTTGGGTATGGTTTTAAATTAAAAAGTTGGGTCAAGTCAAGGCAGGTTTTGGTTGCCTCATGTGGTATATATAAAAATAGAATATTTTATTTATTTATTTAATATTATATTCATAAATATATGTACTATATTCGTAAATTTATTATTTAATACAAATTGAAGACATTAATTCAATAATAAAATATAACTAAGATTTAATTTATACTAAAACATAAATTATTTCATGAAATTTTCAAAGATAATTTGCAGGTCAGATCAATTAGGTGCAAATGATAAACAAATTTTTGAGTTGGGGTAGGGTATTAAAAATCATAACCTAGGTTGAGGCAGTTTTGGTTGAAGGTATTTATAAAGTCGGGTGAGCAAAAAGTTGATCCATTGCTATCCCAAAACAAAAAGATAGTATTAAGAAGTTGTAAAAATAACAGCCAAATGGTGCCTAGAAAAGTAGTGGCATCTATTACCTTACTACTCTAAATTTTCTTTCTCTCTTTGTCAGAGGTCTGATATGATTTGTGGTGTATAGATAAAAATTTTGGTATCAATGCAGGCTGCAGGGAATGAAGCATTCCAATCTGGAAGACACTCTGAAGCTGTTGAACATTATACTGCTGCTTTATCTTGCAATCTGGAGTCACGGCCTTTGGCAGCTATTTGTTTTTGCAATCGTGCTGCTGCGTACAAAGCACTGGGCCAAGTCACTGATGCTATTGCTGATTGCAGCCTTGCCATAGCACTTGATGGCAATTATTTGAAGGTTTTTTTGCATTCTAATGTTATCTTTATGCTCATATATGTGAATATGATTTTCTAGAGAAGCCATGGGAGGAATTTGAGTTATGAGATTAAATTAGTCCATTATATTTTCCTTATGATTGGAAAAAAACAAGTATCTTAAATTAAATGTTGTCATAAGTAAAATATAAAGTTGTATAAACTAAACTGCAAGATACTTTCGAAGGGAGAAAGTGAATGAATCCATCTAATAGCTACTAAACACATCGCACAAGCTCAATTTGTAGGACTGCCCGGATGGTGTTATTGTTATATAGACAAGCTGGCAGTTGCTTTATATTTAGGTTCTACCTTGACAAAGTGATTAATGGAATTAAGAAATGTAATTTTCTTAATGTTTGCTAAGACCATTGGCATTTTTTCCTTTCTATTTTGGAATTATTTGTTTGAATAAATAAAATAAAAGGAAAAACAGATGATTTTCTTCTCTACTTTTCTCTCGTATCTGCAATATTTTGTGTTGCTTATCAGCTTTTCGATTATTTCTTTTTTGAGCAGCATCAGTTGGCACAGAAAATTTTATAAAATAATGCAATCTAGCCATACATGCTGAATGTAAAGTATATAAAAGGGGCATAATTTCTGTATGGTTTAACAGAATTGTCACAGGCTGAGACATGCCTTATGGTCCATCCACTTTGTTATGCGTGATGAATGATTATTAAGCTTCTTCCGTTTAGGGCATGCTTTAAGACATTTAAGACTATAACTTGTGTCTCCTGACACTTTAGTTTTCTATTCAGTTAGTTAATTCTGTTTTCTTTTATTCCTTTTTCCCCTTGGAACATCTTATTGCTTTGTGCTTGCCATGCTGTTATGTAAACCTGATAATGCATCTACCAAATACCTTTTTCTAGAGCTTTTTCTTATTTGTTGGTTAAAATGGGGAATTTCTTAATCTCTTTCTTGTTAACAACAATATAATTTTTCCAGAAAGTTTCTGGCATATGCCAGAGTAGTCTTGGCGTAATATTGTGTTCTATGGATCTCAAAATTATGTGGCAGCAATAGAAAGTGATTGTACAAATTTTGTACTTTGGGTTATTAATTATATTAATCGATTTTAAGATATCTATGTCAAATATCTCATCCTAGCAGATATTGATTTCCGAATTATTGGAGTCCTCAGGCTGCATTATTTGTTGTATGTTTATCGTCTTTCAATGCATTTCTCTTGTTCCTATTATCTTCAAGGGACATTTCTTCCTGATTTTTATTATGTTTGCACCGTGACTTAATCCTGTTTTCTATTTGATAGTGTCATGAAAAGATGTGTGAGACATTTGGTCATTTTGGTTATGTAAATTAATATGTAGAGTTGATGGTTAGCTATGTTAATCTGACTTCTCATTTTCCTCAGACCTGTGTCATGCTTATCGGACACTTCATAGATGAAACAGGACAAGGATATAACCCTCAGAACAAAAGGAAAAAATTACAACAACATTTGAATGTACTTGTGTGGGACGCTTACACAACCATGCTTGAACCCAAGTCCAAACAATATAGATGGTCAGGATTCATGTGAAGTCCACAAATAATTTTAAAATGGTGTCTCTGGAGAGTTCTTTTCTTCAAAAAACATTTATTCATTTTGGAAAATTTTGTTGTCTCCTATATCATAACTTTCTTGGTAACATATTTGTTTGTGCACACTTTTGCAGGCCATTTCTAGACGAGCCACTTTATTTGAGATGATTAGAAACTATGAGCAAGCAGCCAGTGATATTGAAAGACTTCTATCTCTTCTCATGAAGCAAATGGAGGCAAAGACCAATCAAATTGGAACATCTGACAGATCAATGAACTTAGCAAATGACTTGAGACAAGCTCGTCTGCGGCTTTCTGAAATCGAGGAAGAAGGCAAAAAGGAAGTCCCTTTGGATTTCTATCTGATTTTGTAAGTTTCTTATTCAGTTGTGATTATAGGTAGCAACTGGAATGCATCGAGGTTCATATGAACATGGATTTTGTGGCTGCTTTTTCCTTTGCTTAATATCAAATTATTTGTTAGCTTTTTTCTTTAAACCTTTTCAAATATTATTATCTGGGTAGTAAATTTTAGGTTTCATGAAGGGGCTTTAAACTTTCCGTTATCTTTTTTGGCCAAATCCATCCATCTTTCTTAGGCAATGTAATAGAGGAAAAGTAGCAAGTTTTGCGATATTTTGTTTTCTATTTGGCTTTCCCAGAGCCATATTTATGGATTATGGATCGTGGAACCATATCAACGTTAACCATATTTGGTATTTTAATTGTAATGGCAGGGGGGTTGAACCATTTGTTTCAGCAGCAGAAATTAAGAGGGCATATCGGAAAGCTGCTCTTAGACATCATCCTGACAAGGTTTCTTTTATCTGCTGCCATATGCATATTTTTAGAAGTTCCGTGCCAATCTGGGATCTTTTTTTATTTATGTAGGCTGTTCAATCCCTGGTAAGAAATGAAAATGGAGAAGACAGGCTTTGGAAGGAGATAAGAGAAGAAGCCCACAAGGATGCTGATAAACTATTTAAGATAATTGGAGAGGCATATGCAATTCTTTCAGACCCTATCAAGGTATTCCTTCCTTAATTATACTACCTTTATGTTTTTGGTATATGGAACTATTTTTGCCAAATGATTGCCAGCAAAGAGTAGTCAAGTTACTCCTAGATGAGGTTTATGACTGGCTGAATGCAGGGGTGTGCCAGTCACCAGCATGCTTTAAAAGGCAAACAATCTTGGGGCGTGGCCTTGTATGCCACTTATTCCTTGTAGGAATTCTCTCTTAACACATGAATCAATTGGATTAAAAGGAATAGTGAAGGAAAAGATTTTTGTTTTGGAGAGAGAGAAGGGCAGGACATTGGAAATCTAATTCATTTCAATTGGCTCTTAATAGCAGATGCTAGGCGATGCTTAGTGTGCTGTTGGACCTTTTCTCCTACCTAAACATAGAAATGTATCTTCTTCACAACAGCTTCATATTTAATTAATGCATTTAATAGGATTGTCTTTATGAATAAAACAGTGAAACCACACACACATTTTGTTTTGATCACCATTTCATATTTTCTTCAAATAAATTAATGTGGCCCACCATCAAATGAATAGGAATTGTCTAAGTTGCTTATATACGTGAAAAGCTCTCCTAACTGTTCCATGTAGTGACTGGTTATCTCACATCTTTTAGAATAAAAGTGAATGTTAATACAACTTTATTCCTTTTTTCTTTCGGGGATCATGCATGTCCTTCCTCTGCTTTGCATATCATTATGTTGACGAAGCCATATGACAACTGGCATTCTAATGTATCTTCTTTCTTCTTTTTTTTTCGTTACTGGGCAAATATGGTGTTTATCTTGCAACAATGTCTTTCTGCAGCGCTCAAAGTATGATCTTGAAGAAGAGACAAGGAATGTGCAAAAGAAACGTACTGGAGGTACACCCAGAGCAGCTACAGATGTTCAAAGTTATTCATTTGATAGAAGTGGTAGCAGGCAACCATGGAGGGAGGTCAGGAGATCGTATGGCTACTCGAGCTCCAAAGGATCGGAAGCCACACGATCAAACAGATTCTATTGACAATTGTGAGCCACATGTTTGAAGGGAATCTTGAGATATCTGATCAAGTTATACAATGATGTCTAGCAGATTCAGATTTGGTTTAGAAACTCTGCAGAATGGAATTTTCTCCAACCACTGTCACGAAATAGGTGTGTACCTGCAAGAGGGAATACCAGATAGTTGAAAGAAAGAAACTTATCTAACAGAGGAATGTCTGGACATTGTAAATGTACTGGTGACATAACAGACACATTGAGACAAAATAAATGCAACCAAGGAGTTGCTTCAAGGCTTTTTGCAGTTTTCTACCCAAGACTGACAATCCCCTAAATCGAGATAGCAGTTTGTTTTTTTTAATTGGTCACAGGCTTAGAGAGTTCATATCATTTTTTTTCTTTTATACTTTATACCCTCCTTTCCAGATTGATTGATTGCTTGATTTCATTGCTTGTTTATGAAGAGATATGGTGCTTTGAAATGTATTATAACACGAATGAAAGATGTTTGATTGTAAAGTTGTTTCAACAGCTTTAGCTGAACGTTTGAATGAGAAGAATTTTTTTTTTTTTTTTTTTTATCTTCAATTGCTTTGCTTCTTTTTTTTTTGTTGATTTTGGTGCTTCAATGTAAGACTATATTTCAATTCACTGTGGTGATTTTTTTTATACAAAAGAAGTCACAATTTAAGATAAAAGAAAACGTTACAAATGTTGAGATTTGAATTTCTTATCTACTAAATATCTATAAACTAATTGAGCTCAACTCCATGTTCTTACCTATATGATTTAATCCTATCTAAAATTAGCTGTATTGGGTAATATTGCTATGTAATTGGTACCAGATAAAAGGTAAATAAAATTCATAAAATAACATAATAAGTAATAACCCTATCATGGAATTGAATTTGAATTCAGCTTTATTCAATTGTCTAATTTAGTCTTGGATTAATTTTTTTTTTTATCATGTAAACTTACCTATTTTACACTAGTTGGAATAGGCTATACTTATTACTTATTTCCTTGAACGCTGGTGCATAATTAAAATTAAGTTATTTTCTGCAATAACTTTTCTTGTTTTTTCATTATTTATTATGGTGTCGAAGCTCCTAATGCTCTAAAATAACTTTTTAATCCTGTAAATTTCATTCTCTTTTATCTTTATTTTTTTCTCATGATTATCTCTGAAACTCTCACTGTCAATACTCGTACGACTTTTAACAAATCTCCTACTCTTTCATCCTCTACCATCTCCATTAATCAACCATGCAGCTTATCACTATTAATGCACCATCACAGCTTCCTATTAAACTCACTTTTTTTAATTTTCCATCATGGCATGGACAGTTTAATTCTTTTTTATTTGCTACAAGTTATCTAATTATGTAGATGGTTTTTCTTTTTATTCACTTGAATTTATTCTCAAAGTGGGTTCAGATCCTCCGCTTAGATACGATCCTGCTCAATGGCATCATATCTTTTTCCTTAGAAAAACAACAGTACCTTTCATTGCCTCGTCTCAATCTTCCAAACAAGCATGGAACAAAATCAAGGGCATGTATGCTAACAAATCTAGATCCATAATGGTGAATCTAAAGGAAAATCTTACCAAGTCTAGAGGTACAAAATGTGTTTCAGATTATTTTCAATTGCTCAGAAACATTTATGATTAATTAACACTTGTTAACCCTCCTGTTATTATTTATGATGATTTGGTAATCCATGCCTTTACTGGCTCTTATTCAAAGAAATAATTGTTGCCATTCGAGCTAGAGAGTCTCCTATCTCCTTTGAAGAGATACTCGATAAACTTACAAATTATGAATAATTAAGCACTAAAGCAACAAGACACAAATTGTTGTCCATACTTGTACATTTTGCCATAAAATTTGTTTACTATAATGCTAACAGGTTTAAACAAAACACCTTGCATTATGGAACTACGTCTAAGTTCATTTCTGTAACTCAAAATCAAAGAAGACAACATCATGTAACTTAGCCTTATGCCAAAGTGATCTGTCAGTATTGTGATAATGCTTGCCATTCAGCTGAGAATTGCTTTAAAATCAAACCTTAAGTCATCTACACCACACAAATTGACTTCAAAATCTACATCTTGAGTCTTTTTAGGGTATTCCAAAATATAAAGTGCTTATTTCTATCTTGATAGTAAACCTGGAAAATCTGTACTTCAATACATGTGCTATTTGATGAATCAAAATTTCCATTTACTGATACAAATTCCAATTTTCAAATAACACCAGGCACCTATGCAACATGAATTCCGGTATTTGATTATACATGTTTACTTACAATTCAGACTTTATACCAGCATTTGTTTGATTAAAAACGTTCTCAAATCCAAACTTATCATTGATTGTCAGACATTTTCATAACAAGATTACTTTAATTTTGGCACGAGATCTTTGCTTGTTAACAGTAGCATTTGGTCGGTTGGTTCATGTTACTGCCAATAATTGTCACCAATTCAATCTTTAATTTGGCAATAAATGATATATATATATATATATATATTCAATTCCATGAAACTTACACGTGCATCAACAGCATTATTTTCATGGCTTGATAGAGAAAAACATTTCATTCTAATAGCTACTTATCTCCAAAATCTGAGTTTTCAAATGAAAGAGTACCACAATGCTATTGTTATCTTTTCTCTAGCAATGCCTTTCATTTTCTTTATGTATGTATACATATTTTCGCTCTGCCAAATCAATTATTAATATTTTATCTCATCGGCATCAAATCTCTTTACACCTAATTAGGTAGAACAAAAAAAGAACAAATGATTTTAAGCAAAATATATGTACTTTTTAAAGATAATTAACAATTTAAGATGTCAGAGAAATTTAAGACATATTTGATATATAAAATTATGATATGATAGAATAAAATAATATTATGAATATGATTATATTACATATATGATATGATTATATTGCATAATATCATCCTAACTTGTGTTTGATGTGTGCAAAAATTAAGATAAGATAATTTAGTTATTGGTTAAAATTATATTTTCTCAAAATTTATACAATTTAAATTATTGATATAATTTTTAAGGGTAAATAAGATATATAAGTTTAATCTCATATATTAAAAATAATCCTTTCCACTTTAAGAGAATTAAATTATTTTATACCAAGAAGATAATTAATCATTCTTATAATCTTATCTTTTTCTTTATACACAAATCAACATAATATAAAAAGATTATCATCTCATCATATCCATCATTTTATGCACTAAACATGATCTTAAAGATAAAATTTAAGATTGATTTGGATTTCATCATATGAATTTGAACCCCAATTATATGATAGGATGCATTTGAGTAATATCGTAGTTGTTAATTTTATTTTGGTATCCAATTATACTAAAATACGGTACATTTAAAGATGATTTTTCGTATTATATTTGATATCGAAAAATATCAATTATTTTCATTAGTTTCGATTAATTTCAATTAATTTCACTAGAATAACATGTTTCGACTAGTACATAAATGTAAAATATATTTTATAATTTTTAACTTATCTTTTGTTGTTTAATTATTTTTAACCTAATAAAAAAATTAATTAATAAAGTAATCTCTGAAAGTTGAGTTTTTTTTTTAATTTTAACTTGTTTGTTTTTTACTTTATTTTTTCAAATTAAAGTTTATAATTTTATATTTTATTTTTTTAAACTAAAGTTTATAAGTATTTCAATTTCTTTAAGAAAGCAATTATGCTCTTTTTATAAAGTTTAACAATCATAAAATTTTGATTAATTTTTTTATTTTTTTGTTTTAATCTTAATTTTACATAAAAAATACTTATTTAAATATCATATGATCAGATTAAGTATTTAAAGTATTATAAAAAATTTATAATATTATTTTTTATGCTTTTAAACTTATTTATTTGATTTTTGAAAATATTTCATATTTATTTTGTAAATTATTAATAGTATTATAATGTATAAATTCATTTATATTTATAAATATATTTATATTAAATTAAAATTTTAAAATAATATATTAAAATAATTGATACCGATACATATTATGTATTTTAAAAAAACCGATATGACATCCAATACCATATTAACAACTTTGAGTGGCACTCCAACTGTACAGTATGAGGAACAAAACATTCACTGCCCTTCCTCTCTTAAACTAGAAGAGAAAGGGTTTAATATACTAGTAGACCTCAAAATAATTAATTGCTTTAGTGTAAAGTGATATATAAAATATTTTTTAATTACTCATTATTTTTGTGGGATAATTGATAATTATATTTAATTTTATCATTATTATTTTTTATATTTAAATACATATTTTTATTATTTATTTTAATATTAATAATATAATACATAAACATACGACTTAAATATATAATCTCAATGATATCATTATTTTTATAAATTAATTTCATCACTCATTTACATAAAATTTTCATCAATTTATTAACATAATAATTTTTATTTAATTGATAAATAAAAAAATTATTTTTTTGAACCAAAATTTGGTTCTCATGAAGTGCACTTGGGAAAAAAATAAAATGCCCAAATTTAACGTAAGAAAGTGCGTTTTAAAATCTAGGGAAAAAAAAAATCCAACTAAAAAGAGTATTCTGACTGCACTAACAAATATAAAATAAAATAAAATAAACAGGCTGTCACACACTCACGAAAAAGCGAAGTCTGAGCGAGACGTAAAAAACCAAAACCCGAAGGCGTGATCACATTCGCATCTATCAATAAAATTCCGACGTGGCACGCGGAAAAACGTGAGCGACTCTGCCCGAAGTCCAAGGTTAAGATTCAAAAGAGCGAGGAGGATGAGGGCCAAAATCGGAAGCACGGAAAATAAAAATACAAAAAGCAAATAAAAAACAGATGCGGTCCCCTCAATCATCGATGATGAGCTGTCAAACTGGGAAAAGGACACGTGTCGCGTCATTATAGCTAAGGTGGTCCCATCTAGCTGGAACAACTTACCGACATGAGGGAAACGCGAGCCCTCCATTTCACAACGTGCATTTCTTTTTCTTTTTAATTATTTTTAAAATACTTTTCTGAAATTGATTTTTGTTGTAATAAATAAATAAATGTGTCATAAATGGCTAGTAATTAATATATTAAATATTTGTTTGTTATTTAAAAGTAGAGGTGTTTATCTTTTTACAGCAACAAGTGGTCCGGTTCTGGAGATGGTACCGTACTCACCGGTTCGTACGATTGGTGGCTTTAGAAGCAAGCGTATGTCTCGGCTTCGGCTTGAAAAATACAAATTATCGTGAGATTTTGTGAGTTGTGAGAGATAATAGAATATTTCTTGGCTTTTTTTAAAAAAAATTTATTTTCTTCTAACATCTTTGAATGATTACAGGTTGGATTTGCTGGCTAACACTTTGAGGCATAATGATTTACAATTGGACTTTGAGAATTTAAATTCAATCATATTTTTTTATCACAACAAAAATGTTTTTATTAAGAAAGCAATGGAGCTTCATGCATTGGAGATCCATTCTAGAGTTTCATAATTT